GCCATGTGTATAGATCGGCAACGAGCAGCGTGGATGGCCTGGTTTCCTAGTTGATAAGCATTGCTATCAGTCCATTCTACATCTCTACAATTGCTGATATCGGCAAAGACAATGTTTCTAATAATTGAATCGAACGCTACCTGCAACCCGTGTTCACATAATTCCCGCATTTTCAAATAGTTATAGTACACTGTTTTGATGATTGATCCATCTTCTGTCACCACCCTAGATAGCCTTTCGACTTGACGGGGCGGCCGATGTTAAAGTATAGGGCTAAAAGGCGAAAATATTGAAGCAAACGGACTCGACGAGAAGATCGATTGTTTGCATTCGTTAAAGGTCAAATTGCTTCCCGCGGATTCTGTTCCAGTAAACTCCAGTCGCCACCGAAGCCACAGCGAAAAGAGACACAGATGAGGAAAGTAACAATGAAAAAGGGGAGAAATGGCTCTAAAGTCGAACGAAACGAGGAAAGAAACCAGTTATTTCAACCGAACCGAGCCTTTCTTCTTTCCATTGCACTGCGGTCTGCTTCGCGCCAATTATCCGCTCTGTTGTTATTCGAACCACCACCGTTGCGGCGACGATAATCGTGCCCACCACGTCCCCGTCCCCGTCCACGTCCGGAGAAGTCTCTGCGTTTTCCACCACGCTGATAGTGGTCGCCATCTTCGCCATGGCCTCTCTTCCTCGATCGTTCTGGCAGCGCCTCGTCCAATCCCTTCACGCCGGACGATGTGTTGTCGTTGTTCGCGGTCCCAAATCTCTTTGCTCTCTCCACCGCCTTTTGGGCTTCTTTCGAGGCTGTATCATCCACAATACCAAACTTCTCAGCTCGCTTTCTGCGTTTCTCAAGCTCAGAATCGAGATCTGTAGTAGCAAGCCCCATGCTATAACTCTTTTCTTCGGGTTTCTTCTCTGCCGTTTCGGTTTTGTCTGCACCAGCTTCTTCTTTCTCGCCTACAGGTTCCGCACCGGCTTCCTTCTTCTCACCATCCTCCTTGTCACCCGGACGCTTAACTGTTAGGTCATGCGTAGTCGAAGGGTCGGTATCAACCTTCTGGTTCGGCACTGCAGTCGGGTTTGGAACAACTCCCTTGCCGCCCGCTGCAGCTTCTTTGGCGTCTTTCGCGTCAGTACTTTTTGCGGCAGTTTCCTTGGTTGATGCCACTGGTTCTATTGCTGTTGTGTCGTCGTCCCAGTCGATAACGTCGTCAGCTGCGTCGGCTTTGGGTGCAGGGGAGGGTGGCGAGGCGACCGTGGCGCTGGTGTCATCCGATGCGGCTTTGTCTGCTTCGACGAGTCGCGCGACCATATCAGCTTTCTTTCCGGTGTGAGGAAGTCCTCGCGCCTTGAGCATCTCCATGAGGTCCGAGTTTGTCTTCTTGCTGTATGTAGCCGCCATTGTGAAAAATGTGTGCGTCACGGATTGAGGTAGGAAAAGGGGTAGTAATGTTTCACAACGCGAGGACAGTAGCTAGACAGAACAGGCGAAATCGCGTTTTAGGATGGCGGGTGAGAGATGAAGTTGTTTGTCACTTTGACTCTGGAGGGAGAGGAGAGGGTGTTTAAGGATGATGGTATTTAGCAGTTACTTGCTTGCAGCTGGCATGATTGACAAAGTCAAGGTCAGGAAAAGAAAGAAGATAAAGAGAAGAAACGGATCTCAGTTTCAAGCACAACAGAACCGCAATGAATGAGAACAATCACTCATTGAGACGCTGCTCCAAGCAAGCTGTCAACCAGCGCGTCTGCCTCTCTCTGGCGCTATGCTCAAGTTGGAAGCTCCGAATCACGTGGCACCTTGAAAAATCAATCTTGGTGCCGCCAGGGGTTCCAGCCACAAGCAAGCAATGATGAGAAGACTGCAATTCACAAAGATAATCCCATGAAGAACGGGCAAAACTCAGTTGAAAATAGTTTTCTATTTTACACACAGGGTAAACCCAATTGCAGGTCACAACAAATTCCTTCAACCAAAACCGAACATGGACCTGCTTCCTTGGAAAGATGAATGAAAGACCTTGTTCCCCAGGATTATGAGAATGCATGATTATATAGAACTTGCATGGTGACTATCTGCTCTGCCTCCTTATTGAGGCACAGCGATCACTTATCCAACTTGCTCTTCTTTTTCGGTCTCTCCTTTTCTTCGTCATCGTCAGCATCATCCATTGTGGCATCGCTGCCACTACTTTCATGCTCAGAGTCATATTCTTCAGCCACATCGGATTCCGACTCAGCCTGGAAGTCTTCATCAACAGATTCTTCGTCTTCGTCGGCTGACCCACGGTGAGCGCCAGAGACCTCCTCGTCGCTGGACTCCATAAGCTCATCGTTATCAAGTGCTGCAGCGAGGAGTGTCGATGTCTGCACATGATATCTAGATCAGTTTCTGCTATTACTCTGCTTACTCAAACCCGGGAAATCACAGGAATATGGGAGTGACCTTGGGTAACAGCTGGGATTGGATAGCACTTACATCTTCAGCCATTTCATTCTTAAACCGTATATTTTTGGCTTTGAAAAACGCCTCCAATGGCTTTTGCTCCTCTCTAGCGGGAAATTAGCCTACATTTTCTTTTTGTATCCCACGAAAAACAAACCTGTTGATGTTGCTGAACTGATGCTCGCCGCCGCCTTTAAGACTCATCGTTATATCAAAAGTTCGACTAGCTGAGACGGCGCCGCCAACACGGGACATGGTGATAACCGATATATTGTCAATTTGGACATAGGTTGCGGGCTTTGGAACAAACATGAAGCTTTTGTCGAGGCAATATAGGAGGCCTTCGTTCGCTTTGATCGAGCATTTGATTCCGTTGTGATTGTGGTTACTGGATGTTGTGTTAGTATTCCTGGTCCTAGATTGATCCATTGACACGGAGGGAGCTGATAAATTGCCATTGCGGTAATGGGCTGTGGCTGACCTAGTAAAATCATTGGACGGCATGATTATTTTCTTTCCGGAGAGCCCGCGGAAAACCTTCGTCATCACCAAGTGAATCGGTTCCTCGTAATGAGCTTGAAGTTTGTCTTTGTAGCGTGTCTGGAGCAGTTCACTATTCAAAATTAGCCTGGACGGGATATCGGGGAGTAGATGGGGGGCATGAAATACTCAGTCATATTGAGATCGAGATTGTATTCGTCGTCCAATTTCAACTGCATTACGAGGAATGGGTAGCGTGTCTGACCCTGTCGTAGAGGGGGATCTAATCCAACGGTAATCAACGTATGCGTGTCGTCATTTTTAGGCAATAAGAAAAATTTCTTAATCGATTGGTACTGGATCTTATAATCATATGTTTTGCCGCGTAGTCGAAGTGAATTTTCGTACATGTCGATGTCGAACCGTCCTCTGAAACAATGTAAGTGGCAACCAACCAGAAAACCTATCACGATGACTGGCATACCTTGGAGTAAGATGTAATATATCAGGAAAGGTAGCGAACGTGTCCCCAGCGACTTCGCCAATCTCAGCCTTATCCATCAGGGTCTCGTAGAAGAGGTTTGCAGCGTTTTGCTCTTCGATTTCTTCCCCATCTACACTCTTCTCGTCGGCGTCGGCTTGATCCTTCTTGACTGCAGTGCCAGGAATGTAGAATCTCATTTCGACAAGCTCGTCTTTCCCTGCACCGGCTTTCTTGCCGCGGTTTTTGTTGCTTCCGGGTTGCCCATTGGGTCCGTTAGGGGTGCCGTCAGCTGGAAGTGAGAATTCGACCGCCACCTCATTCCTCCCCGCTAGATTCGTGTTTGATATCTCCGAATATGGAATTTCAAATGCGGGTCTGTTCTGGACGTTGAAAGATAATTCTGCTTTCCCGAAATCTGCTTTTCCCCAATTCCATCCTCGCAGGGCATGTTCTCGATTTTCAAGGTTGACGCCATACCACAGCTTGAACGCTTTGCTGCTTCTCTCAAAATCCTAGCGCAAGTCAAACAAGTTAGAAGGGCCAGAAAAAGGAATATAGCTTTAAACCACATACCTCTTGCTGAAAGCCATCGAGCTGTATAACACCGCCAGTGCGCGGCAAAATCTTCAACTCATAGCCTTTTGCCGCACGGCTCCACTGGGCAGCTCCGACATTGCTCTTATCGAGTGTGAACGTGTCGCCTCCTCCCGACGGCTTCCATCCCAAGCCACTTTCAGCAAGCTTACACTTGCCGGGTTGTTTGGAAAGATCTAGGTAGATGTTTTCAAAGCTCTCCCTGGGCTTGCGTTAGTGAGACTTTTCACAAGACAATGTACTCCAGAGGCCATACATGATGGAAATCGCTATGTAAGCTATTAGACGGCTTTTCAACTATCGAGCTTCCGCGGATATGGAGATAAGTGGCCGGGGAAGTAGAAATTGGGCTCACGTTGGCGAGCTCAGTGTTGAGTGTTCACCTGGCTGCATTTTCGCGATAGCTGCTAGAGGTTCCCAGCGCGTCAGAAAGCACTTTATCAAGGTTTAGACTAAAGTCCATCCGGTTAGCAGCCATTGACTAATCCTAATCCAGTTAGCAGTCTTTTTCTCCAATGCCCAGATTACCTAATCCTGTCAGTTGGTGAACTAACAAAAGTTTATCGGCACAGCTGAAATTGAAGATTTGGCAGCGTCATCCTGCGAGTTCAAGGGAGCGCTCTGCAGGATGGTATAATAGACGGGATATGATAGCATTAATGGCATAGCTTTTAAGAAGTGCACATGGGTTGAGGGAAAAGGGGATTTGAGATGAGGCAATAGAAATGTCCCATTCCTGCTGTGTGACGGAAATAGCTTCTCTCTGAAAATATCTTCAATATTGTGCTCCATATCAGCCTCTACAGAGTACTCGACTACGGGTTAAAGAAAGGGGAAGCGGTTGGATGCATATCGACATTGTAGTAGTGAGCATGAAATCCCACAAGTCGATGCATTAACACCACGAGATCCTGCCTGTCTCAAGAGAAAATGGCCTGAGCTAACTGCCACGCGCGCGGCCCGTAATGCCAGCGACACTCTGTACCTTGCTGCTGCCAACCATGGATTTCGCCCGCCGCTATGCCGCATCGGGCCACATCGGCTTACCTCATCCCGCAGAGAACGGCCCCCCCCGGTATTAATTACAGCTGGCAAACCTGTGCCTTTTGGCGTTTTGGCCGTGCTGCAATTTCCAGGAGCTCGCTTGAGAGGCCTGTTCGTTCCTTTCAGCGTTCACCTCCCTACTCACCACTCTCGTTCCTTTTGTTGCAGCACCACCACCTTCATGTTTGTGCCTTGTTGACACTGCTTGTTTAGCATTCAGTCCACTCTTTTAGTATTTTGTCGCGTCATGTTCCGATACCCGCACAGGAAATCCAGTCTATCGCTCCCCAACTGAACGACCGACTTGGCCATCCAGCCACCAGTGCCATCCCGGACAAAACAATGAGGTTCTCCTCACTGTTTCCGCCCGGTGATGCTTCAATCCTACCGCTACCGCAGCTGATCTCGCTTCTTTCCCTTCCGCTGGCTCGAGCCACTCTGTTTACCCCGGTGCCTTCCCCCCAGCTTGATCTTGGTCCGCTTGGCCGTGTCGCCCTCACTGGCAATTTCGATGCCATCTCGTTATTCACGTACCAGCAGCAGCGAGACGAGGTCCTCGCCGTTTACAATGGCTCCCAGTCCCAGTCGTTAATCGCCCCGCTGCCCAACGGAGGCCTTGCTCCCATCTCGTCTGCCGATGCGGATATCCTGGCCCTGTGCTCGCTAACATCAGAGGATGGCTCGTTGACAAGTATCGTGGTTGGGGGCAATTTTACTAGCTTAGGAGGGATCGAATCTCAAGCTCTTGCGCTCTTTGACCCAAACTCCGGGAAAGTGTCTGCCATCCAAGGATTATCAGGTCAGGTCCGCGCGTTACTCTGTGACTCCGACAAGGTCTACGTGGGCGGCGATTTCAAGGAGTCCAATTCGTCAAACGCCATTTCCTGGTCTCGGCGCTCCGGTTTTTCCAACCTTCCTTTCGGTGGCTTCAATGGCCCGGTATCCTCAATTGTTAAAGCGGAGAACGATCATATTGTGTTTGGAGGGTCTTTCGACGGATTAGGGAATGCGACAACTCCTTCTCTCAAGGATCAACAAATGGTCAATCTTGAAACTGCCGAAATCTCCTCTGGCGGAAGCTCTATACGGCCTGGGTTCGATAATCCGCGGAATGCCGTGTGCCAGGCCACGAAACGGGACGGCCCCGGCAGCACTTGGCTTCTGGCGGATCAACAAGCGGGATATTGGCATGCGCAGATGAGGTTTGGTTACCAACCTACTAAGCTAAGACTTTGGAACACCCACTTCGAAGGGCGGGGAACGAGGACTTTCCGCTTCATCGCACTACCCGACACGGGGATTCTCAACCTGACTTACACTGACCCTGCTACCGGGAATGAGATGGCTTGCGACGCTAGGTGTCCCCTTTCCGATGACCCAGCTGAGGAGTTTCGCGATTTTCACTTTGTTAACCTCGTTGGCATGAATGGATTCCGGCTAGAAATCTTAGAATTTTACGGTCAGGGTGGAGGCTTGAACGGTGTAGAGCTGCTTCAAGACGGTATGTCTTTATTTCTACGTATCTTCACGCACTGAACTAACTATTGTGTCATTGTAGACATCTACGTGCACGCGGTTAACGACTTTAACGAACCGGCGTGCGCGAATATCCCTTTCGCTTCCAAATCTACAAATACGGGAACCTGGACAGTAATTCCTTCAGTTCAGAGCTCTTCCGATTACTTACGCGCGCAAGTCGATTCCTCTACACGATTATCTACATCCGTCACCTTTTTCCCGGATATTAAACAGTCCGGCAATTATTCCGTAACGATATTTACCCCGGGTTGCATTCAAGATGGCACTTGCGCAACACGAGGTATCGTCAACGTAACGGGGAAATTCTCGATGCAAGATGAAAATCCCGTTCAGTCCTCAATTCACCAGACCAACAATTTCGACAAATACGATCAGATATACCTTGGGCGTGTCGACGCAGCCAATGCTAACTTTCGACCTGAAGTGACTGTTTCAGCACAGAGCGGGCAGGGCGCTATAAATATTGTCGCGTCCCGGGTTCGATTCCAGTTAATTTCGTCCACCGGTGGCCTTAACGGTTTATTTGACTATGATCCAAGGCAGAATGACTTTAACACTAACTTTTCTGCCTCTGCTATAAACAGGGCGGGCACTGAGCTGGACCGTGGAGCGATAGTCAATGATTTAACGTACAAAGACGATACCCTCTTTGTGGGCGGCAATTTTTCAAATGCAACCATTCACAACATCATGTCGATCAGGGATGGCCGCGCATCGGGATTGTCTGGCGATGGATTGAACGCCGCAGTAGCCTCGATGGTCACCCTCGATGATTTGGTATATGTAGGAGGCAATTTCACGAATCTAGCGAACGGTAGCCAGGATAAACTGAAACACGTCGCTGCGTACTCGATTCCCGATGACACTTGGCTATCGTTGGGATCCGGCGTCAACGGTTATGTTCGATCGCTCGTGCGATTCCCTGTGAATGTCTCTTCTAGCAGGATTGAGTCTGCTATCGCTGTAAGTGGCGATTTCTCTCAGATTGAGGAATCGGATGGGCGTCGAGCCATTCCCGCCAGGGGATTCGCTGTGTGGGTGCCTTCGGAGAAGAAATGGTTGCAAGAGCTTGAGATCAATCAAATGGCGTATGTGGGACAGCTCACAACTTCCATCGTGGCAAAGGACGATACCATATTGGCTGGTACATTGGCATCGGGTGGAATTTCATCCCATGGCGCCGTTGCACTAAGCGACGACAACGGACTTGCTCTCCAGCCCTTGCCAGTCAAGATTCAACAAACGCCGGATTCGAACCAGAGGAAACGGGCTTTACTGGATAAAAATGGCGCCCAAGCTGTGACAACCGGTCTTTTCGATATGGGTTCCGGTCGGAATCTTACCGTTCTGGTTGGACACTTCACCGCTACAGCATCGGACGACTCGACCATCCAAAATGCGCTTTTGATCGACGGTTCCGACGGCGATAAAGTGACAGGCCTTGGACCAGGGATAACTTCGAACTCGACGTTTCTTTCTACGGCAGTTCTCCGAGACTCTCTCTTCCTTGGCGGTAAAGTAATGGGTCAAATCAGTTCGTCCAACATCGCGGGACTTGTTGTCTATGACCTGGCAAGGAGGGAATACCCTGCAAGCCAACCAGGGCTTTTGGAAGGCAACAATGTTGTCGTTAATACTATTGCGCCGCGCCCGGGTTCCAACGAAGTCTTCGTTGGAGGTCGATTTGATTCCGCTGGTTCCCTGCCGTGTCCGGCTGTTTGTGCTTTGCAAACAGATGCGTCACAATGGGTTAGACCCGGATCGGGCCTTCAAGGAGAGGTATCCGCTTTAACATGGGTGTCAAAGGAAAAACTAATTGCTGCTGGTAACATGACCGTGGGCGGCAATCGGACTACGCTTGCTAGCTATGATGCAAAGGCACAGTCCTGGTCTTCGATTAGCGGAAGATCCGCTGATTTGATTACCGGCCCTGTGACAGCCCTTGGACTTGCCAGGGCAGATGGGTCTCGATTCTGGGTGGCAGGAAAGTCTCCAAGCGGCTCTACGTTCCTCATTTATAATGACGGCACCGAGTTTCATTCTGCGGGGTCGCTCTTCGGCGAACAAACAACCATCAGAGGCGTTCAGATACTCTCTCTTCGCGAAGAACATGGCGATGCTGAGCTGATTGAAAGGAATCAAGCTTTACTTTTAACCGGCCAGATCCAATTACCGAAATTTGGAATTGTCTCCGGCGCGATATACAACGGATCGACCGTAGAGCCTTTCATATTGTCGAGCACATCTGACGGTAAACCGGGAAGTATCAATGGCTTGTTTTCTGAAAATGCAATCAAGCTTAGCGGCAGCCGTAAGTTAGCCCCGGGGATAGAAAAGCTCACACTATATGCTTTTGTTAACACTTATCTGATAATAGGTCAACCACGCTCCCGGGGTATCGTCGTACTCGTCTCCTTCTGTATCGCCCTAGGTTGTATCTTCCTCATCGTGCTCATTGGTATTATTCTCGGTCGCATCCGGCGTCGCAATCAAGGATACGTTCGCGCTCCGCAGGGTATGGACCGGAAACCAGATCTTAGGCGTTTGCCGCCTGAATATCTCCTGGATTCTCTTCGACAACGTTCACCCGGCGTGCCGGCAATCTGATGACCGATCATTTGTTTTCTCTTATCAACTAATACACAACGAAAATTGGCGTTCCGGCGGTGGCAAATACCCGTGGTTTCGGTCGATATGCAAGGAGTTCCTTTTTGTTATTTTGACAGCGATCTTCATCTTTCACCTATCTCTTCTTGCTCTGGGTAGATGGTTTGCGGTTGCTCACTGCCCCTTTTTTTGCCTAGAATTTAGTTTCATTGAAATTTTGTTTTTGCCGTGAGGATACATATTAAGTCTTCCTTTTTCCTTTCTATATCGGCCTTTATCGCCTAATAATTCTTCAATCCCTCATGTTTGCCTGCTACTTGGATCGCCTCCGCGTGTCATCCTGCTAACTACTCCAGCTGTCTTTTCTTTTATTTTCACCCGAAGAAGCACCCTAGGTTCAGTCCTTGTGTTGCGTCCTTTGCCCATAACAAAAACATCTCCTATCCGAGAACGAATTTCTTTTTTCCGTTGGAAGTATGTTGTTACCTGGTGTAGATAGGCTCGGTGGTATTCTGGATGCCACAAATGGGACGAGAAATCCGTGCCCCGGAACAGTCCATCATCTATCTTTCTGTACTCCGTGCAGCGTAGTAATAGGTGAGCGCATCTCCCGACTCCCGAATATTATTTCGCGATCCGCGTTACTTTTGGTGGCACTTTTCCACCTCAAAAAGTCAGGAACTCCATAAAAACGCCATGGTTTCGGTGGAGATGAAGAACCACACAAATTTCATTCCAAGGTTCGCATTCCAGTCGGGTTTGCCTCTTATCTTACGTAGCATTTTGGCTAGAATATTATGTACCTGCGTGCCTGGCCGCCAGTGATGTTTCGTTCAGCCAGGCCATCGGAGTCCGGCGCTCATTTTCTTCCCTTCTTTCGCAACATTAGGTGAAGCTTTCATGCCGGAATAGAGAGGCATTGAAGGATCTGACGAAGGATATTTCCTCCCACCTCGTTTTACGGATGTCGGCTCAGGCTTGATTCTAGCGGAGATGCGCTCAAGGACTGGCTGGTGAGTGACGGATCTCGAGCCCCCCCAATCGAAGCTTTGCCGGAAAGGAACGAGGGTGCACTGACATGAGCTCTTTTCTCTGCCGCAGTTTGACATGCCGTGCACGCAAGCTGAAATGCGACGAGCAAAAGCCCCAGTGTTCCCAATGTCGCAAGGCCTCGAGGGAATGCCGACCCAGCGAGGGCATCGTATTCCGCCACCAGCAAAATGCGTCGATGAACCGCGACGATGATGGTGTGCCCGGAGATGGAGGGAAGCTCAAAGGCTTCTATTCCTATAAGAATACATTTGACGAGAATAGCGTATGGCTGGAGATACCGAAGCAAGGTGGGGGGTTTATACCGAGTTCTTTTTGAATTGCTGGGGCGGTATTGTGAAAGCTGATATGATATCGTCGTTCGAGCAGTGACTTTTATCAACGTTATGGATCCGTATGCTGAGGAGCTGGAGGCTTCCTTAACCCTCCCCGAGACCGTACATGCGAATCAGTCTGCCTCATGGGATAGTGGTGGCATCTACCCAGGCCGGTCAACAGATCCCCAGACTCATGGCCTCGAAGCCCTCTCCGCCGCGGCTACGACAGACAAATATGCCGTGCAACAACACCAGCCTGTACCTGCAATGGTGACAACAGCGCCAGTATCGGTTCCCTTGGCCATTCACACGCCCTTCCCTCAAGCGGAAACTGAACATACGCTGGGGTCTGTGCCATCTCCAAACCAAATCCGGCCATCTATGGCACCGCCCGCTTCCCCGTCCCTATCGATCGCATCGAACAACAATATAAATTTTCTCCTTAATCCGTCTACATCGGTGTCGCCTCCTATAGACCCGAATCTTCACTCACAACATGGCAGAGGGTCTCCGTTTCGCACTAGGACTATCATTCCGCAGACGAGGCCTGAAACTGACCATGAGGTTGCCTTCTTGCTCCGACACTTTTCTGAATCTCCTGGACAGTGGTAAGTATGCTCGCTTACTTTTAAGAAACGTTGTCTTGATAGCTAACTTGATCCCCAGGATGGATCTCTTTGATCTAGGCTCATATTTCGCTTCCTACGTGCCTGTCAAAGCTGTTACTAACCCTCTTCTTAAGTACGCTGCCTGTGCATACGCTGCAAAACAACTTGGCCGGGTGAAGGGAGCGAAGGGCAATGTTGGTGGCGTTTGTAGCCGATTGGCAAGCATGGAAGTATGGCCAGAGGCCGATAGAGTGGATTGGTATTTCCACGGAGCTAAATATTACGACAAGGCCATTCAACTTCTCATGGAAGCTCTCCAGCATGATGGTCAAACCTCGCCTACCAGCATGGTAGAAGGGTTAGAACAATGGCAGGCCACAGAACTATGCAACGATGCAGGCCATCCTGTTAAAAGACGACGAACGTTTTCGAATAATCGATTGTCTAGTGCGAATTCCGATGAGGTGCTAGCTGCAACTGCCATTTTATCCGTATATGAGTTCCTTGATGCGACAGGCCAAGCGTGGGATCGCCATTTGAGTGGAGTGAAGTCATTATTAGATATTGCAGATATGATGCCGTTTGAACGAGGTGTTTCTCCCGGTGGAACCCCATTGCCTCCCCTGCGGAAACCGGGCTTCTCGAAAGCAAGGCGTGCAATATTCTGGAATTTTGCCAGACAAGATTATTTATCAGCTTGTGAGACCAGCCTTTGAACTTTTTTACAGGATGCAAACTAACTAGATGTAGTTATCAACCGGTGCAAGTGCCGATTGGACACGGATGACCTCCTGCTGTGGACAGAAGCAGGCCTCCATTTGGAAGATATGGGATTCGTCCAACCAAGCAATACGTCCGGTACAGGCTATCCAGAGGGAGATGATGTGATGGTGGAAGACATGATTTCCAACGCCATGGTCTGGTTGTCGTCAAAAATAGTGAACTACCTAGCCGCGGACGATACTACGGCCCGTCGCACAGAGCACCCCTCGATGGCTCAGTGGCAACGACTGCAAACCGAAGTGGATGTATGGTACGATGGCCTCCCGGACACATTCAAGCCGTGCGCACGAGTCGAATATCCTTTGCAGTCGCTGAAAACGAATGACGAATTGTACCCATTTCAAGAAATTTGGTATAGTATTGCCATGTGTGCGTCGGCAATGCAGCACTACCACATGGCCCGAATACTTTTACTGGTCAACAAACCGCCCCAAGCGTCCTCGCTGAATGGTGCGGTCTCAAGTCGAGAAATCCAACATCAGTCCATAGATTCGGAGATACGATACCACTGTCATGAGATCTGTGGGATATCTCTGTCCAGGCCGGATGCTTCAGTGCGGATAAATTCTGTTCAGCCACTATTCCTGAGCGGCCAATACCTGAGCGATGACCGGGAACGGATGATTGTTTTACAATTGCTCAGGGGGATTGAAAATGACCTGGGCTGGGCAACTGAATACCGCGTGGAACAATTGTTGGAGCAATGGGGCTGGGGTCATAATATCGTGACATGATACATATCTTACATGCACCGAGAAAATGAGGAAAAGGAAAGAAACTAATTCAGGCATTTGTGCCTCGGTGGGAATACGGTTTGAAATCCGGATCGGACTTCCATCCGGCCAATGTAGAACCAATACAGTTGTGTTCACATACGCTGTAGCCGGGCGCAATATCCGCTTGACGGGAAACAGAGCTGCGTGGGACATGGTGAGGGTTGTATGCGAACAAAAGTTTACTCCTTAGGCCAAACTCCCTCGCCAAAGAGATCATATTTGACTCCAGGCAATCTGAGCTCTATTTTCGAATGGCCAGGCAAAGAAAAGAAAGCCGTCTACTCGGCAATTTTAGGGTCAGGCAAAACTATGCAATAATAAATGCAAATGATATCCATTCAAGTAGCTATTAAACATGCTTCAAACAATCCGATCAGACCACACCTCGCTGTCTATTTGGCTGTACTATGTTTTGGACATTATACCAGACTCAGGGCAATGTCCAATCTGTGAGTAATATGGTACCGGAGCTTTCAAGTACTACTGGAGCGCTCTCACTGTCCGCAATGACGGCATTGATATATCCAGAGTGTATGCAACCTCTATGAAGCTGAATCGCAAATCAAAGCAAGGCATGCATCTTCAAGCCTGCGAATTTCTTAGCTTAGATGACTCCCGGCGTTGGGTACAGATCCTAGGCTTCTCCTGGGTGGTAGCTATATTTCTTCCTATCCAGCCGGCCTTCTGTACGACCAAGAGACAAATGACGGTCACTCCTGGAATATTTCCTGATGACTATCCAGTAGGGAGCCGACTCTGTTCATTTTTCATCCAGCAGATTGTCTAGCGCCTCCCCATCAACCCGAAGAGTCACCCAGTCTTCCATCCGCTTCGCTCCCAAGCTCTCATATAGTTTCAGCGCTGTCGCATTGTCCCGGAGACACACCCATTCCAATTTGCCGCCACTGACCTTCCGCGCCTGCTTTGCCAGCTCTCTGATCAGCAGCTTAGCATAACCTCGCCGTCTATAGTCCGGGCTCACATAGAGCTCTTCCAGGAAGACTCCGGGCTGTGCGAGCCAAGTGGAGTAGTTGTAATAATAAACCGCCATGCCCGCAGTCTCTCCTTCGGGAGCGATGAGCAAAAGAGTCCGCGCGAAGCCTGATTGTGGCGTCTGTGAGGAGCCGGGTTCTCCGAATATGAGCGTTGCCTCGAGGCTGGATTCCGTAGCCTTTACGCGGTCTGCGCAACTGGTGGCTGCGGCGCCTGCTCTGATGAATCCTAGGATCGTGGGAACATCTATCGTCAGGCTTGCCGTCAGCTTACAGTAGAAGAATGTGGGTGGGAAACTCCTTCTCGGTGAGCCTCTGGTCTGCTTCCCGGGCCCCTTACATACCTTCTTTCGTCGCATGGCGGATGCTCGGTGGCCCTGACATTTTTCTCTCAGCGCTCTTGTTCAATTCGATATTGGAGACTGTGATGAGGAGTTTACGCGGTTATTTAGTTGACTGTTGCGCTGCCTTGCCACCCGGCTGATTCTCCACATCCCAAACCTCGAGCTAAAATTCACTTCTTCGTTTGGGAACGTCGCATCTTTGCTCGAGACGTCGCAGCTGTTTCAAATTAAGAGATAGCTCTGCTGTCCGGACTTGCAGCCTTTGGCCTTGATAACCATCATCAATCGGCGAACGCCTCAGCTTGACTGTGCCCTGCTTGGATCCATAGACAATATCATTTTGTCAAGACAGATGGCCCAACCTCAAAAGAACGCTCTCTAATCCATAGAGATCCTAAAAAGTTCAATATCTGGCCTTGCGAATTGCGCACAAACTCCTCCCTTCTCTTAGCCTTGGATTCTTCTTATATCTCCGGCTACCCTTCCAGCAACTGACAAGGTATACCCTCGAGCCTTTCGATTACGCGACTGAGTGACCAGCGGCAGGGGTGCGGCCTCGCTATGTTGCTGCTCTCTACCTTGTTGATTTCAACAAGCGGATTGCTCTTGGATCAGCGCGCTTGCAGACCTTTTACAGCATCCTTGATGGCCATGAGTTAGCTACTGGTTCAATCCCTGAGTGCACGATTTTAACATCTGCTACCCGCGCCATATAGGTGGGCACGTGGCATGGGTATCAGCTGTTGTATTCACTGATATAATGTTGTGAAATTAACATCTGAATCACTGTTGGCAAGCGAGAATATAATCCCAGTTGGCCAATAACTATGGAACTAGTTATTTAAACATGGCCACATTGTTTTGCACCTGATGAATGGTGACTAAGTTGTTAAATAGCTAGGCAAACAGGCATTCCCTGGTGCTTTAGGGCTGCTGGCCATGAGTGATGGCGCTTCTCTTCTGGTGTTGATGAAGAATGGAGCTATTAATCCATGTTCTCCTGATGATATGAGAATCGGAAGGAGTGGCATATAATTACTTGAATTTCAATCGAATATTGTAAAGCAGCTAAAGACAATTTTGTTCACCAACTCATTTCATTGCTCTGGTTACCCAATCGGCGGTCTACTTCACATCCAAGTTGGAATTTTTGATTCAGACTTTTTCCCAGATCGCAGCATATCTCACCGAGTTTCCAGAAGAAACACCAGACACAACCTTCGGCATGTATCCCTGCTTGTTAAGCTCATCAAATTCCCGTTGGTATCCCTCCGAGGTTAAGCCATGCCTAGATGCCCAGGCTGGTCCATCTTCCTTTACAAAGATGGCGGCGTAGTAAATGTTTCCGCCGATGTTGTAGGTGCTAACATGAGTTGGTCGATATCCTCGGCCTTTCAGCTCCGCAGTCTTATCCTGATATTGGGCGCTGTTAAGGCCCCAGCGAACATCCCAAGTGTCGCGCCGTCGCTCAAAAATAGCGCTGTATCGAGCTTCTCTACCGACTGCATACCCACTGAGGTGTACGATTCGGAGTCCCTTCTGCCTCATTTCGTTCAAAGTACGTTGTAAAGCACTGCTATCCAAATCGAAGCGTGCCTCCCAAGCTGAAACCTGGGATTTATCCCAAATGGAGTCGTATCGGGTTCTTCCATTGACCGAGTAGCCGTTGACGACAAGAGGGTGATATCCTTGGTTGCGGAGTCTGTTGACGGACTGTAGGAACTCGTTTGAATCTTGATTGTGGGTTGAAGTCCATTCCGCGCCCCTGCGTCTCTCCCAGACGGCTGCATATCGAGCAGCACCGTCGTCGGTGTAACCGCTAACATAGTTGAGACGGTACCCTTGGGACCGCAGGTCTGAAGCGACGCTCTCGTATGCTGAGGAGGTCAGACCGTGGCGGGCCTGCCATGCGGACTGTTGTTCTTGGATAGGCGATGCCTGGACGGTCGCGAACGCTACCGCGGCAGCAAAAATCGATTTGAGAAACATCATCGTTTGAATTTGGATGCACGGAAAATCCTAGGCTACCATTAGTATAATACCATTGAGTATATCACAGCAAACACACTCACCAATGCAAAAGGACAAACAGCTGCACAGCGAGATGTCGGGGCCAGCAACAGCCTTTCAGATAGTATATGCTTTTATTTCAAAACGATCTGAGGCTTTCCTGTTGGGCTTTGCAACTCGGGACAGCCAGTGCCTTTATATACCCCAAACTCGCCCGCCTCTCATCCATTTCATCAGTGTAAGCGAGGTCATCCGGGAATTCGATGGATATCCCGTAGTCTCCGCTGCGCTTGGTTCTAGTTGCCATGCTCTGCCGTCAGTTACTCTTTTGCAACCGAATGCAGGTTTTAGCCCAACACCCTGGAGCTCGTATATGTCCAGACTAGACTCGCCTCGAAAGCCAAGAACACCAAGCATTGATCTTCAGGGTTACCGGGGTGGAATTTCGTAGCATTGGAACAGCAAAGAACCCGGATCGACCTCATCCTGGAGCATATAATACCCAAAGGTTCCCAGGAGTGGGAACAGTGAGCAACAAGCGAGCGTCTCCCCGCGCTTTTTCCCTTCAACCTCACGTAGCATCGGTTATTCTTTGCTCCATCAAGCCCATGCTCCTTGTTCCTTGAAGGAAACCCGAAGTCTAGGCCCGGAAGATTATGATTTCAACTACTAATGACAACTCGTATAGATGCCATCACAGGTGTAAAAAACAATGCTTCGGCGGGGAATTAGCACCGGTGATAGCAGGAAAAGATCCAGGCGGGAGCAGGATAATGGCCAGCCAAGGGGAATAGCTGGTCTATGTAGTATCGAGAATCAAACGACATTCATATTCAGCCCAGGTCCTGGAAAGTGAAACTTTCGCTTTCGGCAACGTTCGTCGAGACGTAATGCGGTGGCATTGGGCATATGTTCTATTTTCGGTTTGGATTAATAACCGAACCGGCCAATGCATTGGAAATGTCTTGCATTGGGATATCAAGAAACAGGCATAACGAATATCGCAGTAGTTAACACCAGTTAACTACATGATACGCATATTCATTGATGCTCATTATTATTCCAAGTCATTCGAATACCAGAGGAGTCGGCGCGCGGCAAGATTCTCGCGAGAACGCCGGACGCTCCATTGAAGTCCGATAGGGAACGTGCTCCTCTCTGGGGATCCCCAGCAGTGAAAAATAGAACTAGATAAAGAAGCCGACTATGGACAGCGATGCGTCCGCCTTGACGGGAGTCCAATCCTGGTAGATATTAATGCCAAGCGTAGCACCTTGTTCGAGTCCAGGGATCAGATCCTTCTTCAATGTTGCCGGGTTGAAGGAGTTTACCTATTTCCGGGCCACCAGAGAAGCTGTTAGACGCATTACTCAAGTTCTTTGAGCATGAAAAGCCTAGAAGTGAAACATTTCTCTCAGGGCTGTCTCTACTGCGCTGCTCTCAAATCCCCCCGGAATGAAAACAAAGCACATCCATGCAGGATGTGTACATAAAAGGAAACGTCAGAATTGAAGAGCCTCAGTTCCTCAGACTATCCACTGGATTTGGGCCCTCTGGGAGACCAGAGCTGATCAGTTTCTTGGATGAACAAAGTCAGCCAGGATTAACGAATGGACGGAGTACGGGTTTCAACCGCACTTGCTGCTTCACCAAAGTGTCCTGCTATAGTGGCTCGCTTTGAACCTCGTCCCAAATATCCGCGATTTAGGCAACCGGCTCTCTCATCCAGCTCTTCCACACTTAGCCTCGGAGCCCCGTTCTCAGTTTGGGGAGTTCCGGATTCACTAAAACATACTCATCATCGCTGAGGCTGACAAGGAAACCTGGGCATCGTGTGATGAACGTCTCGGAACTATGTTGATCGAAGACGACTTTCCACGGCTTGACTCGGGTTAGTCGTCTAAGATAAAACGTGTGTGAATCAAACAGGATATATAACTAGTTAACTTACCTCTTCCAACTTGGTCCCCACAGTTTCGTCGGCAGCAGGGAAGTTGAATATCGCTTGTCCGTACGCAGTCTTGACATATTTGTGCCAATTTTCCCTCCAGAATTCGGTTACTCTATGACACTGTGTACTCTGAATCCCAAAATTCTCCCGCAACCGTTGTCCGAATGACTTCGGCGTCAGGAGGGATGTCCACTTATCCCTGTCCATTTTCTCACTGGCCCGAAGGATTTCCAAGAGATTATACCCGTCGGTGTCTGGCTTGTAGATGTCATCTCTGTTGGGCCGTAGGATTGCTAACAGATTTGCTGTCAACTTCTCCTGGTCGTATATGTCAACCGCCCAGAAGTATGACCTTTGAGTGGTTAACATCCTTACTGTTGTCTACTATCACTTGGACCCATACCTCAGCCAGAGGTCGTGTGATTGGCACTCCATTCTCTGCACAACCTTCGTCTGCTGCTCGTTGAGGAGTTTTCAAAGAGCTTTCCGTCAATGCTGTCCGGATATCAACGCTGCTTTGCAATCGCACGGCCATGCTGTTGTATGTACAAAGTCTTCGAGCCGGGATCCCTCCGACTCCAGAGCCTTACTTCTGACCTCGGCCACACCAGAAGCACTCGCTCTCTCTTCGGCGTACTTGAGGATCTGCTCATGGTATGAACTGCTTTATTTTCTCCTGCCTAAGGGCATTACTTGAGTCTGTCATTACTCGAACCTTTGACTTCCTCCTCTTAAGAGACTTATTTGGATCCTCATGCTAAAGAGTTAGAATTTCCAAATACTCTTTTTTCTTTCTCTATCTTCATTCTCAGGGCCGGGTGCTGAAGTTTGCATGGGGATGGGTACGTTTGGTGCAGCAATCTATACCATGGTCTCGTTAGGCCTCATTAGCCACTCATCCAAAATAATTTCTGAGGAGGTCGCCCTGGCTTCCGGATCCCAAGTCAAAAGTTTTCGAATAAAGCTGAGGAACTGCTCTTTTTCTTCTCCTCGCGGGATTGTGGTGATAAAACCTTCAAGAGAGGTCTTGGGGATTTCTGCTTCGAATTTAAATTGGCCTATGATAGGTAAAATGGATGGTTAAGCTCGTTCTTTGTGACAGTCCTTCGGCTACAAGGTCAATGTGCACCATGAACCGGAGTCTAGGTACTTACCATTTTTGTTGAAATAGGTCAAGAAGTCGGGGCTCTGTTGGATCAGCCCCAGGGGTGGCGGCCCAAGATACCCAATATACTGTGCCAATGCCAACGGAAGGACGTACTGGTTGTGGACGCGGTCAATGGGATCAAAGAGATTTCTGCCTTCCATCAACTCAAGCGTCTAAGGTCAATGAGAGGTCACTAGTCGTCAGCACTGTGATCCTACTTATGCGTACTGGCGCTGGCACGGCTTACCATGACCCCAATTGACCACATATCAACTGGGTAGTTAAATGGGAGTTTTAATAGAACCTCCGGAGCCCTATATATATCCGGCATGCACCACTCCTTATTCCCGCCTTCTTGTGCCAGTCGCATTTGGCTGAAATCAGTGAGAATAGGAATACCACCAAGTTCTGGGGCTGTAGATCGAGACCGGTAGACAGGGGCCGCCCCATTACTGGGAATAATTGGAATACTGGGATCCTGGGACTCTTGCTCTTCAATGTCTCTAAGAGGTGTGTTGTCCTCTATTTCCGACAAAACATTCTGTGGTGAGATATCTTGAACTTGTGGTTAGCATGTGCAAGAGTTTCGCAACCCTCATGCTAGAACGTACGAACCAGTATGTATTGTGTTGCAATTTCCATGCAGCCAGTTCACGGAAAAGAATAAGCGGTGTATCAAAGACCTCACAAGCAGCTTCGGTACCTTGGCCTCGGGAAACGTTTCCTGCAAGACGCGCACACTGCCTGCTTGAGGTTTTGAGGCAACGCAATAATGGCGACCGGACGGCCCGTTAATTTCAAAGATATCATCTGCAAGACGTGTAAAGAGCAGTCCGGGGTGATCTTCAGCAGCAGCACATTTCTTTAAGCGCTGGAGCATGGAAATTTCATTGAGTATGGGGGAGTTGGGTTCCCCGTCATCTTGTACGCAGACCTTGAGCGAGGCGTACCGGCTCGCCCTCCATCAGAAGTCAGCCATTAAACGTGTTGCGAGAAGCGAACCGGGTAATTCAAACGAACTTCTCGTCCCACGCAAGCCACACCGTTGAGTATGCCCCATAACCTAACTTCGCGATGACCCTATACTGATCCTTGAGGGTGTCTCCAATCTTGACCGGGTAGTATTGCCTCTGGTGGTAACGAGGCAGCAGCTGCTCTTCAATTGCTTGGTGATCAGCCGTCTGGTGGGCGAGACGACGAAACATTCGGTGGCAAGGCGGTCGAGTAAATGGTACGAGGCGCCAAACCGGGGCAGTAAGATGGGACATGTTAAGGATGCTCCTTTTTGCACAGCTTCTCTTCCAACATGAACATCACAACAACTCCTGAAGTTTTCTGGCTGCTTTATACACACACGAAGGTTGTTTTGCTGGTTCCAGCAGGATGACTCACCTGCAGGCACCGGAAATTCCATATTGGCGGTTAGGTTGATCTTCTACTATAGAAAAGTAAACATTAACTAAGGTAAGGATTGTATTTTGTAGGAAAAAGTGCCATTAATATTTCTCTGTGACTACTTGGAGCTTTTCGACACAGGGAATAAATGGATGAATAAAGAATGGGCCGACTCAATTAGGGTATCTATGCTAGCAGCTACCCTACTCTCTCTTCCAGCACTTTTTGATAATGGTTTCTAGAAAGATGGCCAGTCGACAGCGGCAGCTTATGTGGTGCTTTAAGCTCCATGATATATGCGGGCACATTTTCGCCATCACTCTTATATATGCAGAACTCATCCGCCAGCGGGTAGAATGAGTGTGGTGTTGTCACAGGCGTGGCACTCGCTCGACTGATTTTTCAAGACATTGTGGGACACAGTGGTCCCTTGGGTGACCTGGTTTCAGTAGATTCTTCACTCAGTGTGTTTCCGTGCTTCTCAAAGGTGATGCTGCCCATGAGGTGGAAGTGCTGGCATATTTGTACATTTGAGTGCAGTTTTGTGACCACTGAATGAACTGGATGAGTGAGAGTCTCATGCTGAAACTGTTGAAGGTCCAATTCAGACCCTGTCTTCTCAGATTGCTTTTAGAGTATAGAGCAGTTTGGCTTATGGTCCAAGATGATAGATACCATTATGAAAACCACTTTACCTTTCATTATCATCTGAAATTCTTGTTGTCTTAATATGATCAGTTCTGCAATAGTTGAAATGCAGTTCACAATCATCATAATTTCCGCAGAAAGCTGGAGGATATGGGGGCGTTTTAAAGGTGGACTGAGCCAGCATCAACAAGGGAGCCTGTACCATCCAAATCATTGTTCTAGTCAAATGGTTCAAGTATGCTCATGAATCTCTCCCAGTTATCAACAACCACCATGACAATGAAACCCAAATGAAGTTGAGAGATGATGCTGCACTCCTCCTAAAAATCCCTATGCTCCCATCCAAGGCAAGATTATTACACATAAGTAGCTAGATATTCTGCACATCAACACATGAATAGCTAACAAACCTGGAATTATTGCCTATGGTGTTGAGATTCTGTTTCCTCTGACTATTCTTGTGACTCCATGAAAGAGAGAGCATGATTCCTTCCAGACACACGCGCCATGATCATCTGTTGAGAAGTGTAAATGGGTATAGTGGCCCTAGTTAATCTGGCTAAGCACTCCCAACTCAACAACAGCCCATGATTGTGAGCAGACCTCTGGCTTTCCAAATGCCAGGCGGCAAAATGCTAGGTTGCATATAATATTCTTAAATGCAAAGCATAGCTTATTCTCAAGTTGTGTGTTTTGATCAGGAAGAGCACAAACCCAGGTTCTTTCCAACAACTTCTTCCTATTATCAAAAAAAAAAAAAAAAAAGAAGAAGAAGAAGAAGAAGAAGGGAAAGCAAAGAGTCAGAGGCTATAGCTACAAGCTAGCACATGTAGTTGTGCTTCCGACTTTGACTAACTGCGACTCGAGGGGAACATATACTGCTTGGCTATGTTTGCTGCAATAACAAATTTGAAAGGTGCAGTAAATCTGCGGATGCTGAGAAATATAAATGGAATGATAGCTCACAACGGGATCCAATCCCTTTATGAAACAATTGTTTGCGCCTACATTCAGTGAAAGTAGGTGGTATCTTAGAACAAGCGAAAAGAGTATACAGCAAACTAAACACCTATTGATGGATTGTGCCTCAGCTGAATGAGTGAATGCACATAGAGAAACCAATCCCGGGATTCTTTGCCAGCGCATGGATGCAAAGAATGCGTAATGCGTTTTGAGTCAGCGCGATTATGTCGTCTTGCCCTAATCCCCACGGTGACTCTGTGTTTCTAAGGCGACAGATCCTTTTTTAAAACACTTATGAAGTCAAGAGTTGCAACCTAGCCGCCTTTATTTGGAAATTGGATCTCCGTTTTCTTCATCTGGTTTTCTGAGGCTTTTGGACCCGTGAGTGCTTTGCCATGATACTGTATAAAATAACGCATTGGCTGACTTCCTAAGCTTGATATCGCGATGGCGGCGTCCCCAAAACCGAAACCGATGGATACAATCGAAGTTCCGCTCAACGAATTTTGCGTCATCAAGCCCACCCCAGCTAAAGGATACGGTGTATTTGCTACACGCAACATCCCCCAGGGTACGCGAGTTCTTTCGGAATCGCGCATCTTGAACTTCCCCGGGACTGCTATGGAGCCTTGGGGACTGACAAAGGACGCCCGTGATGCGTTGGTGAAGTCCATCGGCCATCAATTGAGTAGCCTAGCCAAGGAGCAGCAACGCGAGTTCTTCGCCCTTGCGAACGCACACAAAGAGAAACTGGGAGCATTCCTCGGGATCGCAGTGACCAATGCAATCATCATGGACTACGAGACCAAGGAACATGGGGTCTTTCTTCAGGCTGCTCGTTTCAATCATGCATGCCGTCCTAACGCAATGAGAACATTCCATCCCATCCTCGATCAAGTCGTAATCCACGTCGCAAAAGATGTGTCGGAGGGCGAAGAGATAACCGTGAGCTATATCGAGCCGGCACATGTCTTTTCACTTCGAGTGCAACTGTTGAAGGCCAAATTCGGGTTCACTTGCGTTTGCGAGCTGTGTGTTCTCCCCGTACGCGAACGAGAAATCAGCGACTTGAGGATCAGTACAATTATCTTGCTCTTCAACTCTATCCGAAATGAGACTGTAATCATGAACGAGCCTTTAGCATCTCTTCACAATACACATACCGCGATGCTGCTTCAAAAGGAAGAGGGTATTTTGGAGATTCTCGCGTCAACATTTTACTACGACGCCGCGGTCATCGCAATGACACACGGCGATCGCGCACGTACTCGAGTCTTTGCTGAGATGGCCAAAGCGGCGGCGATGGTATGCTACGGTATAGACCATCCTATCACAATGGGAACGCAAGCGCTGGTAGTCGACCCCATTGGGTTTGGGCTTAAGGAGAAATCGACTCTGTGGGCGCGTTTTCCAGATGACATTCCTATTGAACTGGACGATACCGAGTTCGACAATTGGTTGTGGAAGAGAGATGAGCCAAACGAGCACTTTCGTCCACAGGATATTAATGAAGTAGCTTGAAGCTGTGTTGATTCCCATCAGCGACAAAATCCGAGATGCTTTTCGACAGAAAAGACACTCTCCGGGTACCATCACATAGGATGGGTCAAGGTACTAGAAACGAAGCTGTTGGAAATCGTGAATTGAATATCTGTCCTCACAGCTCTCAGATTCTTATAGCGATGCTCAGATTCTCACATCGAGTGCTGATACTCGTAGTCCAGCACATCCAAAGATCACGTAGCCCTAAGTAACTCCTATGCCATGCATAGCTCCGTCCGAATGCCGCTTTTTGCGTACTTTGCCGCTCGGTCGAAGTGAGCAGAGAAGATAAATTTTTGAGTGCCTCCTGGAGCGAACATTCAGGCTTCCTACCATGTCCTCATATGGTATAAGGAATCACCAGTATTAGGTGTTTCTGGGAAATGGAGAAGAACCAGTGGATCTCGATATTACAGTCATCCCCGTCGAGTTCTCTTTCGTTTCGTAGTTGCTTCTCGGCCCACCTCCTCCTTTGAGGAACTGGTTGGATCACTCATATCAGCAGTTAACTCTCGCTTAACAGCAGCACGAGTTGTCAGCTTCAGCTTTGTCTTTTGTTCACCGTCAGATTCTTCCTTGATCAACCCATTGAAAGATTTTGCTGCCGTCTCCTTTACTTCGACTTTCGCAATCATACGATCAGAGAAAGTTTTTAGATCCGCGGTGAATAGCACACTATGGGCCCAGCCTGCCTCTTTGCCCCAAAGCTTTCGAAAGTGATCTGCTACGCCGTCGTACGTCGCCTTGGTAAGGCTCTTCTGTTTGCCTTTGCCAAATTTGTAGTCCCGTTGGGCGATTTGCCAAACTGAAGATAAGATATAAGTTTTGGGGGAAGAAACAAAAGGGATCATTCGTGAGTGAGATGCTCACCATGAGTATCAACAGGCACAGCCTCTCCCCATCCCAGACCCATCAAGCATACGCAATCAGCGACTTTCGGACCAACGCCTTGAAGTTCAAGAAGGTTTCTATGGGCATCCCGATACCCAAGCCTTCCTTGCCCTTCCATTTTACCGGCGTGGGCGGGTACTCCGCCATATGCAGGGCGTTCAGGGTTTCTCAGCGAGTCTAGCCATCCCTGCTCACGTTCATTTGCAACCATCTTAGCGGTTTGGTAGATATATTTGGCTCGATATCCAAATCCAAGTTGACGGAGACGAGTTTCAACCTCTCGGCCGGTTAGTGCCGAAGGTGGTGGGAAATCATAATACGGTTGCTCATCAATATGTCCAATCAAGGAGCCATAATTAACACATAGCTTTTCCACCATTTGGGAAATCCGGGCTATGTTGTTATTGCTGCTGCAGATGAAGGAGACCAAGGCTTCCCATGCATCCTGGCGGAGGATACGGATTCCAGTAAAATGCAACGCTTTCTTCTTGAAATTGGCATCTCCTTTCGCCCACTGTTCGTACAAATCAGAGAGATTGGGCTCTAAATTAAAGTAATGGCGGATCAGTGCTTCTGTGTCATCATCGACTAGGGAATCCTGCGGTGCCGTCCCAGGAGCTGCCTTTGCAAATAAAGATCTATAATGCAGGTGGTTGGCGTCTTGACGTAGAGAGAGTATACGCCCATGCATCGCACAGCTCCATTCATCCGGTGCAGATTTTCTCCATCTAATAGCCGTCAGTCTCGAGCTCAAGGCGTTCCCATGGCAGATCCTACCTAAATGTTTGTCCACAGCGAAGAGTCGTATCAATGCAGAGCTCGGCAAGACTCACTGGTAGCTTCCGCCATTCAGTAAGATGCGCGATGGCCATTGTGCCGATTTGCCCCAGCCGCCAGCAGGTCTGCTTCTTCGCAAGACGCAGCCAAAGGATCGGACGATGAATGCGGTTGCTTGGCGCGCATCAGGGGCCGGTATGATTATATAATGCAGCTGACTAAGTTAGCTTATGCGCACTAGCCCGATGCAGGCAAGCGCCGCCAAAGAGCTGGACGAACATCGACTCTGCTTTCTCGCTGGTGCAGCAAGCAAGCAGGCGAGCGGAGATTTTCAGCAACGAAGAGGCAGTTCACGAGCGAGGGAGAACGCGTATCCTTCTAGCTTTCTAATATCTTGTCTATCCCGCTTCACTACTGTGTCTGGCGCTTGGGGGGTTTTCGCACTCTTGCCTACGAGACCTTGATCTTCCTCAGACAGGATGAACGGCGAGGCCTACGGTTCGAGAGGTAGAGAGCTTTGAGCAATGTTCTATATTTCCTTTGCGAATTGAAGCTGACTGATTTCTAGATACAGGGCGGTCAAGAGACTACTATGTGAGGATGCGCTTTTACAATGTTTCTTAGTTCATAGCATTGACCAGGTTTTTTTTCCCACAGGGATCCCGCTCCGAACGAGATGATCGAAGAGATCGCGGTGATCGCGGCGATAGACGCGAGAGAGAACGAAGGCGATCGAGATCCCCGCATCACGGCTCCCGAGGCTCGCGTCGCGAACACGAGCTAGATTCATATTCGTCAAGTCGCGACTATCGTGCGCGGGAAAGAGAAGATAGATATAGCCGGCGGGATGATCGAGATTGGGACAGGGATAGAGGCGAGAGAAGACGCGAACCTAGACGTGAAGAGGAGGAGAGACCGCCGCGACGAGAACGAGAATTGTTTGATGATCGGCCTCGCAGAGATCGCGGTGATCGCGGCGGCAGGGACAGGCGGCGAAGTCAGAGCCCGGCACAACGAAAGAAAGAACCCACGCCTGATCTGACAGACATTGTGCCGATTATGGAACGAAAACGCCGTTTGACTCAGTGGGACATAAAACCTCCGGGGTACGAAAACGTTACTGCAGAGCAGGCAAAGTTATCAGGTTAGTCGGATTACGGTTCTACCACCTGTAATGCCCTTTTTTTAACGACTCCATAGGCATGTTCCCTCTACCAGGCGCACCTCGTCAACAGACAGTCGACCCTAGCCGCTTGCAGGCCTTTATGAATCAACCCGCAGGCAACGCAAACAGCACGCTTCTGAAGCCTTCAAATTCACGACAAGCAAAACGGCTCTTTGTCCATAATCTACCTCCCTCGGTCTCCGAAGATACACTTGCGCAATTCTTCAACCTGCAACTGAATGGCCTAAACGTCATCAGCGGCGTTGACCCATGCATATCTGCACAGGTGTCCTCTGATGGGAAATTCGCACTGCTGGAGTTCAAAACAGCCTCGGATGCCACTGTTGCGTTGGCACTTGATGGGATTTCACTTGAACACGACGATGCTAATGGCACCAGCAGTGCACCGGGCCAGGGCCTTTCGCTAAAGAGGCCGAAGGATTACATCGTGCCCTCTGAAGCCGATGACTCTAATCGTCAGGACGGCGTTGTTTCAAACGAAGTTCCTGACTCTCCCAACAAGATCTGTGTCACCAATATCCCTCCGTTCATTCAAGAAGAGCAAGTCACCATGCTTCTGGTATCCTTCGGCGAATTGAAATCGTTCGTCCTTGTGAAGGACAGCGGTACGGACGAGTCAAGGGTATGTTTTGGTGCTTTTTTTTCACGGTGCGTAGGGATGAGCATTGACCGTTCATTCTAGGGAATTGCATTCTGCGAATATGTCGATCCTTCTTCCACGAATATTGCCGTCGAGGGGCTGAACGGCATGGAACTCGGTGACAAACGACTCAAGGTAACTCGAGCCAGCATCGGTGCTACTCAAGCTGCGGGCCTTGATATGGGTGTAAATGCCATGTCCATGTTTGCCAAAACTACGTCTCAAGACTTGGAAACCGGCCGTGTTTTGCAGTTGCTTAATATGGTTACAGCTGAGGAACTGATGGATAGCGATGAATATGAAGGTATTATGCTCTTCTTGTTGAACCAAATGTCGGATGCTGACTCTCCTCAGAAATCTGCGACGATGTTCGCGAAGAATGCTCCAAATATGGCCAGGTGCTTGACCTGAAGATTCCACGGCCCACTGGAGGCAGCCGGCAGGCGGCCGGTGTTGGGAAAATCTACGTCAAGTTCGATAGCTACGACTCCGCCTCTAAAGCAATGAAAGCGTTAGCCGGGCGCAAGTTTCAAGACCGGACAGTTGTCACAACTTTCTTCTCAGAGGTAAGTCTTACACTATATCCCACTGCGGATGTGTTCTCTGACATGTATATGTAGGATAATTTCGACGTCAGTGCTTGGTAATTCAAGAGACTAGCCTTCCCCACAAATGCACTGGAGCTACTTGATCTTTCATTTTGAAGTATGATGGGTTCTCAACATTTCGTTTCAAGCTCAACAGGGTATAGGCCTTTTGTTTTGACGCAGGAAAATGGCTAAGTGAAATGCCTGTTATGCAATAGTGTACCATAATGAAAATCTTATCCAAGCTTCCAATCAGTCTCATCCGTCAGACGTAGGTGACACGACCGTCGAGACTACAGCTTCTTTTCGCTGCGTCTCACAGTCGGCTAGGCAAAAGTAACCCTTTCGAATGAGCATAAGCTTTTCCAGGCCAGTTCTGGTGGAGATATATACCTCTGAACGCATACTCCGAGAACGGAGGCTAATGCAAGTGGATTTATCCTCCATTCGCATTTACTCTTCTGTAGATACAGTCCAAAAGCCCACCTGGCCCATCTCAACGGGGCCCGGTGCCACGGATCCGCCTCTTCCATATCATGCAGGGTTTGATGCAATTCGAAAAATGTCTCCATGCACATTGGAAGAGCATGTACACTGGATTGTCGGATTCAATGACCTGTGCGGATGCACTCCATTTTCGACTCCAAGGTGCTTGCCCCCGTAATCGCCATCAGCCAACAGGGTTGCCTGGAAAAGTGGAAAATCCATAGATCTTCACATGATATTTAGCCCTGGTCGGTTGGCCAGCGTCGTCGGATCTATTATGGCAGACAGGATGGAGTATACCCAGGGATGGCTGTGCGTTGCAATCTCCCTTTCCAGATTCTCCATCCAGGATGGTTGCCCCGTACCCCGTTTCCCCACGGGGAAATCTCATCATAAAAAAAAGAAAAAGAAAAGGAGAAATAGTAAAGTGCGGATCTGGTAGATGATGCACCTTGGGCTTGCGATTGAGTCGTGGATTGAAACTGGCTGCTTTTTCGTTACATGCCATGGGTTGGGGGCCCCTTGCGCCTTGACTTCTGGCGGTTTCACATGTTTATAAAACTCCCTGGTTCACGACTGCTAACTACCGAACTCCCGCCTTCAACGGCTAAGGCTGTCCGGACATCGGCAGCATATCGAGGCTACTGCAGGTGGAATGGAGCTAGAAAAGCCCCCTTTTGAAGATCAAGTTGATCAACTGGCAAAAGGGCGTGCATAACTCTAGCGCGCCCTTTCCACGGGGACATAAATAATATCTTGCGCAAACGGACCAGCCCTCTTCCTTGCCGTCGTTAAGAAGAGCAGGGGAAAAGAGGACGCCTGAGCCCCCCCTGGCAAGTGGATCGAGGGCGACGATGAAACAGAAAATTCTTACTTTTTCGGCGTGGAGAAACGAGATATTCGGAAATCCATGGAGCCGAAGAAAATTCAACAAACGCGCCGGTGGAAACTCAATTGATGAGCCTGTTGGAACCGTTGCATCTTTGATGGGATGCTTGAATGTCGCTCTCCCGTATCAAGCTCCTCGGCCGGTTGGGGGGATTTCATGTGCCCGCGACGGTCAAAAGGGAATCAGTTATTACTTATGAACATGTTTTATGTGATTACGTATTGGGTATGTAGTATTCTATGCGCATGCGTTTCAAAGCCCACTGGATCCACGAGGGCATGCGAACCTCGTCTCCTCCACCAGGCATGCCAGACGGACAGGATCGTGAAACACCACGTTCCCTCCGTCCGATATTCCCACACCATGCTCTCGCCGTTTCTTCCCCCCCCCGCTCCCAAAAACAAGACGAGCGGAGCCAAAGGCCAAGGCGAATAATATAGCCATAGCCTTTTATTCCAGATCCCCCAAAAGCGAGAGCAACGCCGGTCCATCCCAGTGTGCGCTAATAAGGCATCAATTTCCGCCCTCCGTCGCTAACGATATTAATGTATGAAAGACCAATCGGCGGCTGGTACGGCGGTCGAAAAAAAAAAAAAAAGGATTAAACTGTACATACAAGAAAAAAGCGGGCCGTGAGGTTCGGTGGCGCGTAAGCGATTGACGAGTAAAATAAGGTATATAAATGATAGCCCGAGTGACTGGAAGCGAAGTAAGTCATCACGCCATGCCCATCTACCGGCATCTAGCTCGGCGGAGCTGCATGTGCATAAAAGTACCCATTATCGTTATAGTGAGGGTACTCCGTCATGACACCACAGGGGCGAAAAAAAAAGGAAGATTCTGAATTCCAACAGGGTTTGAATGTAGGTAAACGAATAAGGCGTCCATCCAGTGGAAAGGGTAGTAAACTTTTCGACGTTCAGGATGCCCAATCCCGATTGTTATCATACCGATTCGACCCCTCGGTTCCACTAGGGGCAAACGTAGCCCGTGGATCCCATTCTCGAGGCGAGGACAAGCCACGCATTGCGCTTGGTGGGCGAGGAGAAGAAAAACTCAACAAAGGGCTCTGGTATTTGGCGTCTCGGGTAAAGCTATCAGGTGATGCATCCGCCAGGTAGGCATATTCAGGAGTTGTATAGACCGAATTATCCGAGTGTCGGATTGGAGATAGAAGTGGCTCTGGGGACTTTATCGAGTGCTGGCGATCAGCACTAAGCATCTCGTATGCGCGACTCTGGGTGCCCATCTTCCGTGCATCGATAGAGACGAATTCTTTCTTGAGACTTCTTCTCTCTTTGATCCATTCCACCCAACCGGTAATCATGCTAACGTGGCCCAGGAAGATAACAACCCAGAATCCACACAGGGCAAGCAGGACCAACACAGCCATCACGGCGGGCTCTGTGGGTCCAAGATCCGTTGCTTTCTCGGCACACTTGTTCTTGTCACCCTGCGAGAGGGCGAGGCATACCAGCCAGGGCTGGGACTTTTTAATATTCTCTGGTGTTTTTCTGGCGGAGCTATCCAGGGCAAGGAAAATGATGGTGAAGAAAATGACGTTTCCTAGGATCGTGAGGACCACAGCGACACCTCGCCATTGCAGTAGCAGTAGTCGTTTAACACGGCGGTACGTCTGACGTGCGGAGAGGGTCCGGACACTTCCACTATAGGAGGGTAGATTGGAACTGTTATCCGTTGTGGGGCTGTTGGTGAGCATAGATCTCACGTAAACGTGGATGCAGTAGCCCAGCGTGGCCAGGTGGATTATCAAGGTTGCGGCCGCAAAGGCCATCAGGGGGCCCCAGAAATTGTAAAGGCCGTAGTCATGATTGATGTGGCAAACGTCACCGAATCGATAGGAGCTTCCAGTGACTGCCAACGCGACTGCGACTCCTGCAACCGGAATTCCCCATCCGAAGACCATGGCGGAGAGGAAAAACTTGCGGCCAGGTACGACATCCCAGCAGATCTGTAGGTGTAGTGACAGCGTGCGAGCGAAACCTTGACGATGTCAGCGCAAGACGGTTTGACTTTTGAGACCCGGCCCAATAACATACTCCACAAGACGGTTGCCCACCCGCCGCCCAGAATCAATGCACTGGTAAAAGCACAAGTTATCTCGGATCTCATATCATTTGGCGTAATCGCATTATGGCATTGGTCTGGCCGCGCGCCGAGAGGGATAATGAACGAAAGCTAGAGGAAAACGTCAGCGTCCCGCCCATCCAAGCCTGGCATCATGGAGCCCATACTTCCATCAGCATCAGCCCGATTATCAGGCAGATGCTCAGATAATGACGGTGCGAGTATTTAACGGGCAGGACAGCGTAAGTGATCAGCATCAGCGCGTTCGCAACGAAACAAGCCAGCGCAACCCAGTTGGCGACATGTGTCTTTTCCATAAAGCCTAGCCGTTGTGGTCAGCGCCGGGGGGAAGCCATAATAAGGTAAATAGCACTGGGTGCACTGAATCGCATACCTTCTTTGTATCTCCATTCCACTTGCGGACAAGGCAAGCAGCAGGAGACATTGCCCTGGGGCAGCTCGAGCGGTTCACAAGCTCGGCCTTCAACGACTGATAGGGCACTCGGCAGTCAGCGGCGCACGATCGTCAGAAAAAGGGCGGTCCAACTCACATCCGCCTTCCAGCGGGAAAAGACTTTCCTGTAAAAAAGGGATGGGACAGGCCCCATGGTTATTAGACGCCATTGCAGTTGTCGATGTTGCCAACAGCGTGTGATTTCCCTCTTGTCCCCCAAGTGCTGGAAAAATGTCACGAAACTCGATTCATGGGCCAACGATCCATACAGCTCTCAAGTTTCTTTGGAGGTTTCGGCTGAAAATTCCCGGGCTCAAGTGCCGGCAAGAGACCGTGAGGACCAAACTCTTGCAGGCAATGTGCACATTCGGGGAGCCCGGCACTGTTGAGCTGAGGCGCAAAAGAGAAAGAGAAACAAAATGAAGGAGCGAAAGCAGTGGGCGACAAAAGAGAAACCTAGGGAGAGGGGCTGCAGGAGGAAGAGACCGGACGGGGGATGGGTTTTGGAGGAATATCAGGAGATGTCCTCTGTTCCATTATTATTCGGCGTCGAGGCCCAGCAGACCCACGGGTATTGAGAGGCAACGCCAGGAGAGCTATATCGCACGCAGATTAAGCCAGACAGTGGCGCCGTGAGTTGACTAGCTGGGGCTGTTGAACCCCGCCCGTCCAGCGGCCATCGCAGAGACTGTCGCTGCTATTCTCCGGCGCCATGGGAAGCCGACGTTGACAGGGAGTCGCTCAGGAGATCGAGATGGGCGCAGGGAGTGCGACTCTGGAGACGACCAGGCAAACCCTGCGACGTGGTAGGCCAGTTGCCCGAGTTCCACCAGCAGCGAAGCCCACCTATTATCGTGGGCAGGTTGGGATGTTCCACCTTGCTGGCGACGGTTTCGAGTCGCCAGCCCATCCCGGGAGCGTCGAGGCCAGGAACACCACGCTTCGGATCCATGGGAATCGCAAAACCACTGGCTCCGTGCCAGAATTGAGAACGCCAATCGAAGCGCTGACGAGAGGTCGCTGTTCTGCTTGGCCGGCTGCTTTCACAGCAATCACCCGCGAGTGCGATTTGGGCTTCTCATTCGCGAGCAGCGGCCGGGTGGCTGTGTGCGCACAGGCGACACGGGCATTTATTTTTTTTATTCCCAGCGTGGCGACTCGAGAACGAGGACGGCGATGATTCAAAAGACTGGATTCTGGAGCGGATGAATCCATGGGTTTCCATTGCTCTCGTGGGTTTCGCCCAGCACCATCTCCACATGTCAGTCTCAAGCCGAGATGCCCAGCGATAAGTTAGTTAACTAATCTACGCTCTGCGTCGCCAAAGACTGCAGAATCGCGCCCTGCACACAGCTGCTCTCACTCGTTGAGAAGGAAACGTCCACCCGCTGCGGCCATCCCACAAGATCCAGCGAGAAGACAGTTGATATTTATTCAATATACTGTTCAAGGCCGTGACTGGAACAGACGCTGGACTTGTGACCACGCTGGACCCCGTATCGTGAATCCGACGCCCCCTGGCAGCGTTGCAGGCTACTGGGCATTCTCTCCAGGGTTGGCTGGGGTTTTCAGGCTGAACAGGGCCTCAATCCTTGTCGCAAACAAAGCTCCAGCGTGTTCCAGAAGCACCAGTGAAGAAGGGACTGGATATCGAGCCTCAAAAGGCAAAAACTGAACTAGTTAAACTAATAACGAGCCGTTGGATTGCGATGTTCATCATTCCCAGGCGGACTCTTTTATAAGCTGACATCAATTATAATACCATCCCAGAGTTATGCATGAACTTGTAAACTGCTCGATAATAATGGTGGCTTCAATCCCGTTTTCAAGAAACTGCATACTCGTGGACGCGAATTTATCCAGAGTCGAGCGGTCGATGGAGCAGGCTCCACAGAATATGGGCAGATCGTCAACCGATTATCACTGATTTGCACTCAACGGCTCGACGGTCAGAGTCAGGAGGAACGCATCCTCGGCAGTGATTAATAGGCCTCCAGGCATCCTTTATGCACGGCAAAGCACGTCTGATGCAACATTCTACCGCTCTCCCGGAAACGAACGTCTGCAGCCAGTCATCATTTGTAACTCGCTGCGAGGACGCCAGAACCAACCCCGGAACGCATTCCACATGGTGGACTCATAATTCGGAAGATTTATATCGTGGCCTCCCCGCACTCACGTCGTGCGTTATTATTATTATCGCAAAAAGACCACCCATCTGTCCTCCGTATAGTTCGCCCGCTGACCGCCGGTAAGTAACTAAGCAGGCAGCCCTGATCCATGAAGACCTAAGTCCCAACATCAAACCTGGGGATGCTCCCCAATAATGCCTTGCGCAGAGGCCTGCTCGAGTCCATATCCCATTAACTGGCCTGGATGCGCCGTTGCATGGTGGCTACCAATAATTGGTAAATTAGACCACATTTTGAATCATGGCATTCTAATTTGGTCCGGCGGCGCCTATCAACGGTTAACAAGTAGTTGCAGCGGTTCTCTCGGGTTCCATTCCTTTGGGAACGGGTCGTGTCTTGCAGTTCTTAATTTTTGGTCTTGACCAAATGTTGGTTTGATGATTACTATTGACTGTATCCTGGTCTCTTGCGCCGTACCCTTCAGCTTGTCAACCTGGCCCTGATATTGCTGGAAAGGGCGATGATTTTGCGTCTTTTTGCCCCCTATTTCCTTTATCGACTTTTCATATATTGATCTTGGACTCCTTCCACGATCCCAGCGCTGAACGCCACGCCAGGTGTATTGCCGCTCTAGTTCGCCGCCGGCCCCAGACGGACTCTCTAAGTACAGACAGCCTCGCCGACTGATGCACAATGCCAGATACAGAAATCTCCAGGGATGAACTCGTGAGGTTCCCATTTCGATCGGTTGATATGACTGCAGCAGACAAGATGCATTTCTGCGCTCTAAACCTCCATGTGCTGCACCTGTTGGGTTGCTGACCCTCTTCGACGTCGGTAAAGGTTCCGGCGCCGCGGCCGCCCTTTATGTCTGCCTTAAGAGACGAACCAATAACGGAACAAAACCCCGCAGCGCCGGATGATAGAACTGGCTTCCGTGAAGAATTGTTTCCGGCACTAGCAGTTAATTGGTCATAAGAAGTGTCGGCAATGTTCTTCAACAACCGACAGCTCAGCGCGTGATCCTCCTAGGAATACTCCGTGCCGCTTCTCGGACCTCTCAGCTTGTTATTGCCCGTCTGCTATGAAGTCGAGGTACCTTCCAGCTGTCGAAAAGCTCTCCTTTTGCCGTTGATACCGAGCCTGGGCCTCTTGAACCTTTGGTTATGGAGGGATTCAATTCAGCAGTGTGCCCTCCCAACTGCCTTGATTGCAATTCGGAGCCGTTTGCAACGCCGATCAAGAAGATCCAGGCAAGGTCCATGAACAGGCGTGTCAATGGTGATTGGAGAAGCTATGTGATCCCTGGTATAAAATTGGGTTGATATCAAAAGCTTGATGCATGAAGAACAATTCGGCAAGCAGGCTCCCTCACTATCCCGACGCAAGGCCCGGACTGGCAAGAAGTGTCATAGGACTTTTCGGGTGCATATTAAGAAGAAAAAAAGAATATGACCTAGGCGGAAAAACGCTTGCCATCCCCACATTTTGAGCTCGTTTACACCCTTTTGCAATGCGGAAGAGGCACACTATAACCCCTTAGCATTGGTTGTGATCAGTATTGACCACTATGAGCTCTTCACGGTCCATTGATCTATCTGCTTCTGGACCACGGCTCCGTTTCCGTCAAACGCCAGTTCAAGTTTGGGCTCTGGCCTTGAGGGGTTGTATTGGCACGAGGCTGCAGAGGCATTGTGGATGGTCAGTCTATCAAACGATATAAAAAGGTTCCGGCAAGTTACGTTTGAAAAACTTTTGCACTCCCCATTTTTCTTCTCAATTTTAACCCCTCAAGCTGGCTTCTGAATTTTGATTCAGTCAACAGACGTGATAGAAATTTTTTGGTAAGTCAGTTCTCTGCTATGATAGTTCCTCTTCCTCAGCATCAAAGTTCTGAAGCTAACTCCTCTGTTCACTTGATAGCAAAGATTTTGCAGTTAGACTCTCCATTTTGACCAAAAGTTTGATAGAAGGTATCTCTGTTTTCATCACCGATACTTTGATATCCACTAACCAGATTGATAATACAAGCAGCGAAAAATGTCGTTCATAACATCATTCCCAGCCAAGTGGGAAGGGATTTGCATGCGTTATCCTCCAGGATGGATTGAGGGCGTTGGCTCAGCCCTCGTCCAGGTTTTTGGCTTCATCATCCCTGGCCTGGTCTTTTTGGCCATCGACATGCTCAAACCGGTTGCATTCGACAAGCGAAAGATCCAGCAAGAATCCAAACAGCCTTCCAAACGACAAATGATTTCATGCCTGAAGCTTGTGTTTGGAAACCAGGCGTACCTGATCGGCTCTCACTTTCTCCTCCTGCACTTCTTGAAATACAAGTTCTCGATTTTCCGCATGGACCCGCAACTCCCCAGTATCCTCGAGGTCGTGGTGCAGTGCACCGTGGGTGCACTGCTGAGAGAAGTGTTGTTTTATTACGTGCACCGTTTGATGCATACCAAGATGCTCTATAGAAAGGTCCATCGGGTTCACCACGAATTTCGGGCTCCGGTTGCCCTTGCCGCAATTTACTCGCACACTTTGGACCACATCCTCGTCAATGCAATGCCGATTTATCTCCCAATGGCAATCCAGAGAGCCCATTTCTTGACTTTGATGCTGTTTGCGGGAGTTGCAGTGTTTGATGCTGCGGTGTCGCACAGCGGGTATCATCTATTCCGCGTACCGGATGTCCAAAGCCACGACGTTCACCATGAGAAGGGCAATGTCAACTTTGGAGTGCTGGGACTGATGGACTGGCTTCATGGCACCAATGCCTAGGTAGGATATCGTCACCAGAGCACGCGGAAACTTAAGCTAACGAATGTCGTGTAACTAACTAGGGATTCAGGCCGAAGCTTGAAACACCATGAACCAGTGCGCGAATCGAATTCAAGCCACGAAGGTATCAAGCTGCGAAGCGGGAAAATAATATCAAAGCTAGGAAACCTATGTAAAGTGGCAATCTTCATGCTGCCATTGCCCGGCACGATCAAAGGGACTTTCATCGGACGTTCTCAAGATCATCGGCCGGATGTTGGACATTGTGACGGCGCTAGCTGACTAAAATAGTTAGACTCGAAATTAGCAAAGTTTAGCTAGCCGGCCAATCACATCGAAATAACCATCTATTACTAAGCATATTGCTGGAGGTTCATTATATCAATCAAAGACATCACTTCCATACTCCGCTATGTCATAACAGATATTAACATTATATTATCAATTATAGACTGAAAAACACCAGTCAAATATGTCTTCGACAAACTCAAGACGCACAGGTCATAGCCAGCATTATATATATAAAAAAGTCTTTTTACTGGGTGAAAGCAGCAGAGCCACCAAAGGGACCGGAAAGAGCGGCATTGCGAACTCTTGCAATGCAAACATTCTTCGCCGATCCAACGGTGCCGGTACATTTCATACCCTCAGGCATCTTGACCTTAATTTCAAAATCGGAGTTCGAGCTGGTGGAAAGGCCAGCGACACCGGGGATGTTGGTGAGGATCTGGGCCTTCTGGAAAGCGCCTGGGTCCTGGCCACCGCTGGATGGATCAATTTCAGCCAAGAGAGGTCCCGCTCCATCTTGGTTGACCTGAGCGCGAAAAGACAGCTACATCAGCTCACTCATTCAATTCTGGTTTGGGTTGATTGGATTTTGTTTACCTGGTGGTAGATCATCGTCACGGTTCCGTCGGAAGATGCTGTTGGGAGGCCGGCCGATTTGCCTTTGCCGTAGTATTGGTTGACGCCGCCCTCTTTGATATCGGCGCCAACGACGGCACCGGTAGCCATACCTGGCATCGCACCCCCAAGGCCATTGCCAGCATTTGTGATGCCTAATACACTGGGTTAGGGCTACTTTGAAACAGCGCACACGGTTGTTTTAAAAACATACTATCCATTAGAGGCTTTAATGGGGTGGGCTGAACGAGATCTTGGACGCCTAGTCAATCTCATTAGTTCCCAATCCAGGTAACAAGGCATGTAAATGCGAAGCTTACCATTGAGTACAGCACCAATGGGTCCGGTGAAGGCAGACGCTGCTTCATTGATCAACTGGCGAGCTGCAACCGTTAGTTCAACCCATCGGCTTTCGAAGAAGGATCATCAGCTTACCGCCCAATAGGTCACGAGCATGTCGCTTGGATCGTCCCATGTATGCATCCATGACCTTGCTTGGGTCAACGGGGCCGTAGGCGGTGCGACCGAGCGCGCTAGCCTTGCCGCCCATCTCGGAGTTGCGGATGATGGCGGTGTCTTTCTGTGCACCGCAGGCAGCGGAAGCACAACCACGTGGTGTTCCATCAACAACTGGAAAGCAGGCCAGTCAGTTATCCGTCATGTACAACGTGAGATTGCAAGCCGATTGGATGATCTGGAGACATACCACTCAAACCGGGCATGTTGACGCCATTGGCGCCTTTAACGAGAGTGATGGTTCCATGCGCAGCAACCTGGCTGCATGAGACAAGAGCAGAAAGAGCGAAAGCGGTTGAAAACTTCATTGTGGACTCGTAAAAAACCGATCTAGAATAGACTTGAAGCGAATGCAGTGATTTTATAAAGAAAAGAAAGCTGCAAGCTAGTAAAATGTATAACGACCGTCAGAAGAATGAGAGTGTGTTGCAAGGAGACAAAATGAATGAGTTCGAGATGGCGAAGATGTGCCAGTCTTTATACAGTCCCTGGAAGTGCTGGTTCCCCGTCAAGGGCGCTCAACTTCCAGTGTCACCTCGAGATGTTCCAAGTATGAGACTCCATTGGCCATTGAGCATCCCCAGAAGGATCTACTTCAAGGAGCTTTCAAATGCTGGTCAAACACATCGGCTGATGGTCAAACAGCACAGGGTAAGACCTGGGTGAACCTTGCTGATGGGCTGGAGTTCCGGACTTGAATACCCTGAGCTTTCATCAATGCAGTTCGGCGTGAAGAACCATCACAAGCTCTCCTTTGGGTGGTTTCAAATTGAAACTAAACGTTTTGACGGGAAACTTGTGTCCGCACCATCCAAACTCTGAACTGGCTGCATCACCAAAGAAAGAATGTGTTCAGAACAGCTTGCCTCACAAAACACCGGACTGCGTCTTCAACAGTCTAAACATTTGGGTATTCTGGATTAAAGGGTGCGAATCGTGACAGGTGGGGGATGTTTGATGTGTTCGGGTGTTCATCAGGTTGGTCTCCTGTCTCAAAACACCTCCAGCGAACCACATTCACAGTGAAGGAAAACTGCAAGTAGAGCCGGCTGCTTGGCTCGTTATCTCGGAACAGAAAGCTCTGTTCTTTTTGCCTGTGACAGCTCCATTTCGAGCCAGCGATTTGATTGTACGGAGAAAAGAGTGGTGGAAGTCCTAGGGTCAAGGATGGTGCGGCGGAGGATCAGCAGGGCGAAGGGGGAATCACGGACCGTACTCCGACGGAGTAGAGTACTTGATCACATTCTGTGATGGGTGTTGCTGGACTTCCACGGCGCTTATACGGAGCCTTCATGTACGGGCTCCTCGTGTTGGCGGTTGAAGGCTGCGGCCATGGTTGCGAGGACGGGAGCCATCAGAGGTTGGTTTACAGATTTCCCCTTCTGAAGGAGCTTTCTCACCATATTCACCTGTCCAAGCATCGAAGCATCCGGGATAAATGCTCCTCTCGAACCCAGAAGCGCGAGGTTGGCTTCTGTACCCCCTGAAAGTTATGGGATCTAAAATGTACCCAGGTTCTACTATCTAGGATCAATCATTGATGGATCTCATGCTTCATCGTCTGGACCATTCGACTGCTCCCTGCTGGATTTTGGCGCGGATCCAACTAGCTGACTGCTCCAAGATTCGTCACTTTTACTATAACCACGACGGAAGTCTTTGGACAGGTTCATTGATACTTCTAACATTATTGGTTCATACAGTACTGGCAGCCAGCTAGAATAACAAGTTCTCCAGTGCTATATCAGAGTGAACAAGCAGCACGATATTGAGGGAAACAGTTATTTCGGGCAAGATGCAATAATTAATCGAATCCTCGGATCACTTGAATGTGTGACTGTCATACTCCATGGGTCCAATATTTGCAATTGAGGTTTTCCGATCCATTCTAAGATTGGCGGTAAAATCAAGATTCCATCTCAAAAAGAGGAGTGATCGTCTTCTGACCCTATTCCATAACTAGCGGTTAGCTTTGATTCCGCATCACAGATGGATATGAACATGTCAAAATTAACGAGCATCGGCGCGATGCAAATATCAGAAGTCCATTAAGATCATCGGGGTCAAGCACAGTATGCTCACCCCTGACATAAGAGGTACCAGAAAAAGTGAATTGGGTGTATCATCATCTGAAGCGAGGAAACGAGGGCAAGGGGAATGAGAGGAACTGACCTGTTAGATTCCTAAGAATTCATCAAAGAAGATGCAATGCTTTTCGGTGGGCGATGTGAATCCTGCCAACAACACTAGGAATGGATTTCTCCAAGCTCGCTGCGCTGCGACTTTTGGTGGAGAGAAGAAAAAATCTCAAAAAAAATCAAAACAAAATGAAAATCCAAAGCCGAGAACGCTAAGCCCAACGAGGAGATATTCCACGTGATATCCTGGCTTGGCACCCTGTGTCTGTCGAATCACACCGAGCTGCAGCAGCGCGTGGCCAGGGGTAGGGGATGCTTCATTGCGGTGAAGATGACGGGGTTGGTTGATAAATGCGAGCGGCACTGCTCGTCCAGACCACCAGCTTCCGTCCGGAATTGATGAATGTCAGGCTTGTCGTTGATTTACTGCTCTGTTCCTAGGGTTTTGCGGACAGGAACGTCAGGGTGACAGTTCCCCGCATCTCATTAACCATGCCTTTCGCCGCGCTCGTTAATGCGTTCCGCAACCTTGACCGTGGGCCTCAGGCCGCGTACGAGGCGAACAATGATAAATTGCTGCTTCGTTTTTACGATGTCCTCACACGCACCTGGCACCTGGGCTTCACTTCCTTTGGAGGGCCACCTGTCCACTTTCGAATCTTTTACCAACGATTTGTAGAGGGCCTCGGAGGGAAGACGCCATGGGTTGACGAGCAGACGGTGTGATATGCGCCCTTTGAAGTTGCCTTGGCCCCATTATTTCGGACTGGAACTCTGACGCGAACTGGATGATGTGTATCGTAATAGTACCAAGAGCTCTTTGCGCTCTGTCAAGCTCTGCCGGGTCCCGCGAGCACCAAGGTGCTCTTCTGCATGGCGTTGATCCATGCCGGGTTCCTTCCGGCTGTCATGACATTCCTAGCTTGGAGGTGGGAGTTCCGTGGCGCCACCTAGCCAAGAAATAGGGCTAATGTTGTTTACATAGTTTACCTGGTACCATTGGCATGTTTGGGCTTTCGCTTGGGGTTCAGCGGCTCGACCAGGAACTTCCGGATATTGTGTATGCTCTTCTCTCGGGTCTTAATGCCTCCACAGTTGGTATTATTGCTCTGGCTGCAGTTCAAGTAATATAGACCCTGTGATACGTTGACCTGCACTGCAAAAGCTGATATTGATTTCCCTAGTTAGCAGAGAAGGCTATAAAAGACGATATCACCAGAATCCTCGTCATTGGTGGAGCATGTGCTGGATTATGCTATAATGCGCTATGGTATTTCCCGCTATTAATGGTCATAGGCGGCTGTTCTACCGCTCTCTGGGATACCTACGGCCGGAATACGTTTGCCAAGTTGAAAAGGAATCTCCGAGGACGAAAACGGCCGTCGGACGTTGTTGCCGAAGAAAGCGTAATTCCAATGACCATACCACTCCAGCAACCATCATCGACAACGAGCCTACAAAGGCGTACCGTTACGTCGAGAGGCGATGATACCCAGGGACACACTCCCGGCACGGATGGCGTCTCCGCCACTGAGTCGATTGGAAGCACAATCCACCGTGTTGACACACATTCTCACTCGCTCCCATTGAAATGGGGAATCTTAATCATTGTAGCTTTCTTCGGTAATGCCTTTTCACATCCTCTGATATATATTCACTAACCTAGAAAATAGCCTCCTTTATTGCCATTATGGTTGCACGAGGGACTCTTGATAACCCGCCGCTTGAGCTGAACTTGTTTACGAACATGTACCTGGCTGGAACCATTATCTTTGGTGGCGGTCCTGTCGTCATTCCCCTCCTGCGCGAGTATGTTGTTGAACCTGGATGGGTCACTTCCCGGGATTTCCTCATTGGTTTGGCACTCATTCAGGCATTTCCCGGACCAAACTTCAATTTTGCGGTGTTTCTGGGTGCTTTGGCGATGACAGCTACCAAATCGCCAACAGTAGTTGGATCCATATTAGGATACGTTGGAATCTTCTTGCCTGGTCTGATGCTGGCTGTTGGTTTCCAGAGCTGCTGGAGGGTCATGAGAAAGTATCAAGTTACGACCAGTATACTTCGAGGCATGAATTCAACGGCTGTGGGCCTTGTTTTCACGGCCGTTTACCGGCTATGGGAAATTGGATATTTGAGCTCTGATGCCTCCAACGGACAAAGCTTGGGAAAGGAGCCGTTTTGGTTGGTTGTGGCGGCATTAGCGTATGCCGAGAATGCCTGGTTCAGCGTACCTCCCGCCATAGCCATTATCTTTGGCGGAATCCTGGGTTTGTGCTGGTATGGTGCTGTAGGGAGTTAGGCTTCCGTGGCGGCTTTGGGACGATGAGCTTTAGAAGCAGAATTAGAGGCGCAGATATCTTGAATTTATATTAGTCAAGCATTGCCTGACCCCTTTTCGGCAAGGGCGGTGCTCAAAGAAGTTTAGTGCTGTGGGGCTCAAATTGGGTTCGAACTAAAGTGTAGTTGGTTAGACCCGCCCTCAACAAGCGATGATCACCTGACTGCGCGAGCCCTAATTGCTTGTTCGTGCGATTCGAAAGGGCAAACTCGCGACTTGAACTGACTGTGAATCTGTTCGACCAGCGCCAACGATCAATACACGCCGCCAACCGAGTTCTCCTCCAGGAACACACATCAACACCAGTCCAAAATGGGTCGTCTTCACAGCAAGGGCAAGGGTATCTCCTCCTCTGCCATCCCATACTCGCGCAACCCACCCGCGTGGCTCAAGACCACCCCCGACCAGGTCGTTGATCAGATTTGCAAGTTGGCAAAGAAGGGTGCTACTCCTTCTCAGATCGGTGTTGTCCTCCGCGACAGCCATGGTATTGCTCAGGTGAAGGTTGTGACTGGTATGGATAATTCTTAATTGAGACCGATTGGGGTTGAAGTGCTAATATTTTCTCGCGATAGGTAACAAGATTCTCCGTATCTTGAAATCGAACGGTACGAAACCATATGTGATTGCATTCCACACGTGAAAAAAAGGTCGAATGGGCGGGTGCTTGAATAGCCGCGGATGGGATTACCATCCTCGCAATTCGGGCCAACGTCTTCATTTACTATATTCATCGAGCTTGTTTCCGTTGCTGGAACATCAAGCGGAATATGTCAGCACTGCCTCTGCTTGGTCATAGATGACTGACGGAGAGATTTTCTTCATGATTAGGCCTCGCTCCTGAAATTCCAGAGGACCTCTACATGTTGATCAAGAAGGTATGTACTTCCGCGATTTCCATCATTCCCAACATATCGGCCTGGGCTTTTGCCTTTAGGGGTTTCCGCGCGTTCCGTGAAGCGATGGTTAACGTTTGTTGATGTAGGCTGTTTCCGTCCGCAAGCACCTTGAGCGCAACCGCAAGGACAAGGACAGCAAATTCCGCCTCATTCTCATCGAGTCCCGTATCCACCGCCTCTCTCGCTACTACAAGACCGTCGGTGTTCTTCCACCAACTTGGAGATACGAGAGTGCCACCGCTTCCACCCTCGTCGCATAATCGGCGATTCTGATACCACCAAAACTGAAAAATTAAGCCCAAGAATTTGGTGTTATGGCGTGGAGGATGCATATATGCTATTAGTTTAGTTCTCAAATGAACTCGCAGACATTCTAAGGATCGGTCAAAGTGCCTTTCGGCGCCGGCCGGTCAATTTCCAGGAAACTCGAGTCTCCAGGTAGCCAGAATTAGATACCGTCTCTACGGAGTACGCAATCAAATAACACTGTTATCCCTGACTATTTAAGTTTCAGCTTTGCAGCCCATTCATCACATATATCCAAAAATTCGATCTACATACAGAGCATGCGCTCTTTTTATCTGGTATCTATTGGAGGTATCTGACCTCCTTCGCAACAGCATTGCACAGCTCAACTTTGATCCCTGCTCCCGTTAAGACGTGTATCCAAAGTCTCTGGGAATCACTAAGCCGGTCATTAGGCGACTTCACCTCAACAAACATAACTTCGCTCTTCTCTGTACTCCAAAGGAAAAGATCTGGGACCCCTCCGCCTCGTTGCTGATATTCCTGTGCCATGACTCTACATATCGTCGCGAGCGCCTCACCACGAAAACATCCAACAATTTCAACGAGATCATCAAGTTCGAAAGACCAATCGATACCAATCGCGCAGGTTTGCCTTTCGGATTCTCGCTCATAAACTCGCCGGAGTATTGATTCAGCCTCGCCATTCGATATTTGCGCCAAACGGTGATTGATTTCGGAGATTCGAGGGGAATAAAACGAATCGGTGTGGAGATCGAGAGGGCAAGTCTGGAAAGGAGTCTGAAAAACGCAAGGAACGTAGGTGAAAATCATGTCGTAGCACAAAAGTCCAAACTAGGTGCTCTATGTCAGTAGAAGAATTAAACACGAATGTTAGGCTAGATCATACCAGAGTACGGAGAATGCCGCCTTCACAGTGATACCCCTTCCATCCATGATCCCGATACCAACTTAGACACATACTTTCGACCCTGCATTCAACGTTATATTCCCTTTCATCTATCCAGACCGTAGGTCGACCTCTGGCCGAAGCCCCAGGATTTCCATTGGTTTTCGAAGCAGGCTTGATAAGGGGAGCTTTTTCCACGCGAATACCTTCTATAGTCCTTTCTTCCGGTTTGCTCAACATAACATGACTAAAGTCATGCTGCTCACGTTTTGCGATGTTCAACGATCTTTCAAGTTTTATTATTCGTTTTTGCAAGTCGTAATGGTAGACGAGATGACACTCAGGATCTTCAAGGCCTTGCTCGCAGGTTCTAAGAGCAACTCGTTTCCATTTCTTTTTCTGAGCGTCTTCTGAGCGACCCTCTGAAGGTGTTAGACTCCACATGTAATGCTCTTCAAGTAGCGCTTTACGCTGATACCAGCCTCCCCGACGTGAAGGGTGAAAAAACCGCTGCTCTAAAAGTTCGGTCAGGTGTTCATGTTCCTTGTTGTAGTCCTTAAACCGGCCCAAGGCGTAGAGTCCTTTGTGGACGATCCGCGTATAAACCCAAGCCGGGGAGAAACGTCGGAGATATGCAATCTCGCCAGGGTCATACTCTTGGCCCTGCTTCAGCTTTTCTTCTTCAAGTAAGGTCTTCCATCTGGGGTATACGCTCTCTGACAAATCTTTGATCATTTGTAGTTTCTCTGACGTCGCGAGATTGCTAGATTCCATGGCATTGTCTAGATCAAATTGAATTCGGATTGCAGTTTCGAATTCAAGAAGCGCGGATCTCGTTGGAAATATACCATTAGTCCGTGAGACGATATACTCTGGATAGTTCCTCCGGGATATCTTAGCTAGGATTATTGAAGTCAAGGATTTCTCGGTCCACTCCGTGGACCGATAAAAAACCAAATGTACGCGTTCAAATAATTTTAAGGGTGCAGAGGAAAGTCTGATACAGTCACCAGTATGGTTCAAAATCTTTTTTGTCAGGAACGCATCGGTAGTGGTTTGTTTCGAAGGGCTCAATTCTGCGCCGCCAATATCGTTGCCATTTTTTAGGTCAGACGAACGAAGCCACGCCAATCCAGTCTGACTGCTGCCAGCTTCACGGAGAGCTTTTAACAATTCCTTCTTGTTTTTACCTTGAACTCTAGCCTCTTTGGCTAATACCTTCAACTCGTCTAGAAGCAATAATGAAGATGCCTCTTCCAAACATGTTATCTCTCCTATGCCTTCAGCAAACTGAAACACATCGCCAAGAAGCGCACTCTGCGGCTCGATTCCCATCGCATTTGCGTCTTCTTGACATGTTGGTAGAGGCCTGACTTCTCTTAAGTCTACAATAGCAGACTGCATATCTCCAATGTCGTGGTAATAACCGAGTCGATTAACACGGTGCCAAGCGGACGTCTTGCGCAGAAACAGTCGTACATACCTGAAACCAATCAATAATTACGATTTCACCGCTCCCAGGATACGCGATAGGCGAATAAATTTCAAAGCCACAGATTCTAAAGCGAGGAGCACCTACAGGTACTGAGACTCATAAGGTAGCGCTTTCCAGTGATCAAACAAAGCCATCTCTTTCGAATCAAACAAATGGACTTCCTCGTCTAGCACGCATTGTAGGGCAAGATTGAAAGCATCCACGTAAATGGAACTTCTCCCTTTTATCCACGATCGATTTTCATATCTTTCTTGTAAACCGAAGTTTTTCGATTCAGGCAGGTCAGATGCTTTGGATGCTTCGTACTCATCAATTGCCTGTTGATATGTTTTTATAGGGGGTAGGCAGGTTTCCAGCTCAGTTGGTTGGCTTGATTGGTGGCTGTTTTCATTCTCATCCCGCGTATCCTCGATAACTTCGGTACTCAAGAGACTTGGCTCATTGCTGTCGACTTCCGATTTGGAGTCAGATTCTTCGTTTGGAGAATATGAAGTCGGCGGATTCTCTGATCTTCGAGCCCGTTTCCGTGCAGGGCTGCGAATCCAGTCTTCCATAATAACTCGGCACGAAGCACTGGATTAAGCATCACCATTCCAGCAATTTGGCCTTGCAGGGTTCAAATGAAAGTGCTATTGCCCGTGAAGAAAACAAATGAAACCATTTTCGCTGCGTCTTCATCATTTTCTGCTTCGTGAGACGCGTCTGCCGTAACGCGATCACGTGTGAGAGATTGAACTTTGCACTGTTTGCATCGATGATGAGCTCGATCTTCGCGTTGGCGGCACGACGAGCATTTGATGCCGGCAAACGTCCAGCAATTCCAGGCCTCAGGGGACAATGAATGGCTTCTGGCAGGGCCCCTATGACTGAACCATCCTCTTCTTCGTTGCTCACGCAGCCAGCCGGGCTGGCTTCTCCGAATTGTCCGAGTACGAATATTCCACACCCAGCTCCGATTTACAACATGGACGGGCAGCAGCGGGACATGCCGTCTCCAATGCAGAATAACACAGTATGTCAGATATTCCAAAACCCGCTTACATAGCCAATTGGTAATGACGCTTTTACCATACCTGCTTTCCTTCCAATCCAATCCATGCACATGCCTCTTCACACACTTCCTCCGAACAAATCAGCTTTATTGTTCGCTTGATGCTAAATCAGAAGTTGGCATAA